GCCTATTCAGTAACGTAAACACGTTACATTGGTGTCAGAAGTGGGATTTGGACTTACACACGTGACCAACGAGTTTCGAACTCAAGACACGTGACAATTTGGTGTCAGAATTTTTACGAAATTAAACACGCCTAGACAAATAATTGGATTATTGTGCATCGAGTATTTGACTGCTACAAAATGGAGAAACAAGATATGCAGCGAATAATCGAAATGCTGGCAAGAATGGAGGCCAGCATGAAAACACATCACGAAGAGATGGAGGAAGAATGGAAGGCGGAGAAGGAAGAGAGAAGGAAACAGAAGGAAGAAATGGAGGAAAACAGGAAGGCGGAGGAGGAAGAGAGAAGGAAAGAGAAGGAAGAGATGGAGGAAAAAAGGAAGGCAGAGGCCGATAGAAAGGAAGAGACGGAACTTCTACTGAAGGAAATCAGAGACAACCAAGAAATGTTCCGAAACCATAAAGAAGAAATGGAAGCAAATAGAAGAAAAGACAGAGAGGATTTCCTGGCAAAATTAGAATTCAATCAAGAAAAAACAAAAAGCATGCTGGCGAAATTAGACGCCGACTTCAATGCCTGGCTGGAAGAGACGACAGCCTGCCGAGTGGACACGAAACCTGCGACGGCACACCAAGAAGAGGTCCCCATAGTGATACTGGTCGGAGTGACGATGGCCTACCAAGAAAGGGAGGCACGTCCAGAAGAAGAAGAGCCGACTTCAGCGAACAGAAAACCTGAGGCGGCAGAACTACGAGAGGTACCCGTACAAGACGCCGAAGTAATGCCGGTCGGAGAACCGAAGAATAAGAGGCGCAGGGACCGTCATCGACGAAATATGAAGAACTCGACACGGGAAAGTTGTGAACCCCAGAATAAATTGGCCGCCGTCAGCAGGAGGGTGTCCCGCTTTGCAAGAGTGGCATGGCGCAAGAGGAAGATCTTCAGGAAATCTGGGACCCGAGGAGATCATGCATCCCGGATAAAGTTGGCTGCCATCTGCAGGAAGATATCCCGTCGCGCGACAGTGGCACGACGTGGGAGAAACGACTTCAAGAAGGAAACTCCCCAGGGAAACTTCGGATACCGGAGAGAGGACTTGGCGTTACAATATATTACAATATATTAATATATACGTTACAATATATTAGACACCAGACATGAATGCAGTACAATGGAGAAAACAATGGAAATTTTATACATCGGCAAGAAAGGGAGAACACTGGATACTTAAAGATTTCATATTTATAGACAATTAAATGGTAATTTTACTGAAGTTTTCAACCCTATATATGATGTGTTAATCAATGCATACCAAACATAAAGAACTATTATACCTCCCATCCCACCATATCCTTACCCACACCATTTCTAACTCCCCCTGCCTTGCGCCAACTCCACAAATATCATATACCACTAAATCTGTTTCAATCTGTCTTCCAACCAGAATGGGCATAATACACGTAAAGAGAGGCACTGGTAAAACAGTAAGTAAACAGTACAACCATGTTATCAACACCAAATCAATGTTAATCATAATAAACTTAACAGCTATTACTGTCACATCATTTCCAAATAAATACCAATGACCCTCCAAGCAGTTAACAATCCAATATTTGTACAAGGCAAGCATAATACTGTTATACGTCCGATGGAACATAAAAATATGATTGCAACATCACACTTCATAACATGACATATTACATGAATAGTTTTAACCATATTTTTTAATTGTATAACTTTCGTTTTATAATAATTTTTATTGTATTTATTGTATTTTATTGTATTCTTGTACTTTATATTATTATAGTGTAACATATTTGTCAAGTATCCAGCACTGTTGTAACATATTGAAATGCAGTTGAATAGTTTGTGAGTGTAGTAACTATGTATGTTCCCGTTGATGGCTTTGAAAGCCAAGACGTGTAGCTAAGCTAAGGTAATACTAACCTCAATAGTTCAGTTGTTGCGTTGCAACAGGTTCTAATAAAGAATTTTATATAATAAACACAACATGATGCACCCAATGAAAATTAATAAGTCCATACCTGGTCTTGAAAGTTAACTAAAACATAAGTGGAGGTTAAAGAAACTGTGACAAGTAACCCGGGATCCATATGTAAAACGGTACTCAATTGAGAAGCCAAAATCGTCAGATGACTGCCCTGTAGAAAGGCACATGAATGGTGGAAAAGAAAAGTTGGGAACTGTGAGGTCACACCTTTAGGAATACCATATCACCCAAAAAAGGAAGCTAACATAATTGCGGATTTTTTAGAAAACCAATTCACATCTCATTATCTGTGTGTTGAAAATCATGAGCGACAGGTGGAGACTACAGTGCAAGCTTTGATCGCATCTGTAGACAGCACCACGCTGGGGGAGTAAGACCTTGTGACATACATAAATTGGCAAATTCATTAAAACGGTGAAAGGCTTGTGAACCTTACAGTATTCTAAATGAATGTCTTAGGCATCCCACAAGAAGACCTATTGTACATCTGACACATTTATTTAATCACTGCCTGTGGCTGCCCAATTTTGTAAAGCCTTGAAAGGAAGCAAGTTGTAACAATACCGACACCCGGTAAGGACCCAAAATTTCCTCAAAATTTACATCCGATTAACCTCTTGTCTACAACATGCAAGCTATTCGAAGAATTTATTCTGAAAATAGTCCAAAGGCCTATGTAATGCAAGCCAGTTTTGTTTCCATGCCTGTCACAGCACGACACTTCAGTGTATGAGGCTTACAGTCCACGTAACCTTAAATGTCAACAATAACATGCCTATGTCTGTTGTATTCTTGAATACTGAAAAAGCATTTCATACAACACGGCACCTCGGCTTGCTATATAAATTATCTACATTACCATTTTCAATCAGTCTAATCAAGCTTACTGACTCCTTTTCTCAGAGAAAATTCAGAGTTTTTCCTGACAGTGAAATGTCTATGACAAGGGATATACAAGCAGGAGTGTCACAAGGTTCTGTCCTGTCCTCCACATCATAGTCTATTCATAGATGATATGCCCCAAATGCTTGGTATCTATCCACGTCTCTGTGCTGACGACTTCTATATATATGAGACACACCAGAGAGAGGGCTATGTTTCAGAAAGCTACAGCTAGGTCTCAGTGCTACTGAGACGTGGTGTGAGCAGTGGAACATAAAACTCAATGAAGATAAGGATCAGGCTGTCTACTGCCCTCACAGACTTAGGCCCCTGAGGCTCATCTTACACTGAATGGACAGAATGTGATTTGGATGGAAGGTATAATGGTTGTTTATGTTTGGTATGCATTGATTATCGCATCACATATAGGGTTGAATGGACAGTGATTGAGATTAGCTCTTTCTATAGGGCCCAACTGAGTAGGTGTCTTCTTTCTTCACCTGAAGACGGAAACAGATCCAGTTTCTGAAACATCGTGTTTTCTATTTCCTAGAATTCTGGACAATGGAGAAAGTCCACAAGACCCAGTAATTCTGTGTGTTATCCACCATCGTCAGAACCCTTTAGAATCTACTAATATCCCTTTTGTCAGTCATGTAAAATATTTCAGTGTAATCTTCGATAAGAGGATTACATGGAGACTGCACATAGAAATGACTGAAGCCAAGACCTTCAGAACACTTATTAGAATGTAATCCCTATTCAAAAGTGAGCGTTTAAATGCTAACATTAAACTAACCCTCCATAATGCATTTATCAGAACAGTAATGAGTTACGCTTGTCCTGCCTCGGAATTAGCGGCAGACACCTACTCGTACCTCTGAAAATTGCAATGCCTGCAAAACAAGGTTCTGCGCACCTCTGGAAATTTTTCAAGGTGCACACTGGTCTGCGATATGCACACAGCTTTTAACCTTCGATATGTATATGATTACATAACAAAATTGTGAAGGAAACAAGCAGAAGTCATACAGAATCATGAGAATGAACATGTTCACTGTATAGGACAAAGTGAGGCCAGACACAGAAAATATAAGAGGCTTAAACTTGGAGGTGGTCAAGCTTATGGCCTTTCAAGTGACTAGGCTGCCGTTGCAGCATAATACATGTCAGATAGGCATGATCTGCTCTGCAAAGCCTGTACTGACAGAGGAATTGTGAGCAGTGCAAAAGCAAGCATTTTTCAATAACGTACTACATGTGTGAAATGTACACTTGACAAAAGGCAAAGTGTATTCAGACGAGAAAAACCCATCTTCTCGTCAGAGAACATGTTACGTAAGGACTAATACCACAAGGGTTCAGTTGGGGAAACAAATCTCTAGTCATGGGTCTCAAAAGAGCTTGATGCCAAGACAAACTGACTGGCAGTAAACCGCCAGTCGTAGAGTACCTTTGACAAGAAGGCAGTCCAGGAGAGTTTTAGTTGAGTTCCGATATTCCAGGGTGATTGAATAAGAAATGGCACAATGACTTCATAGTGATTTGAAGTGCTAGTTTCTATGTTGAGATCCGCTGCCAGAAGACTACTACTGGAAACTGAGAATCCTAGTGTGTATGCAATATTGAACTTTAATTTGTGTAAATCAACTATAGCGCTGTATTAATTGTAATTAAGAGAGATTGTAACTGAAGTGCTAATAAATCCAATCATCTGATCTAGAACCCGTTATTTTTGTCACTCATACCCCTACACACGTGACAATACGTTTAAAATGACAGTCACTCGAAGACTAAACTACAAATATGATCTATGCAAAACTATGTACTGGAATTCACGGATGTATATTACTTACAATTACTATACTCTTATTGATTGCAAGTGTTCTTACCTTGATTTGATCAATAAGAATTTGTAGATATGCATCTGCTTCAACAAGTTTCTTGTCAAACTCATGAACTGTGGGTGGAGGCTTGTTGGGATCCCATCGCATCTGGAAACACAATACGAAACCTCTACTCACATGCAGTTATTAGGCAAATCACAACCATCGAGCTCCATCTGTATCTGGCTTTCATTTACAATAAGTAGAATTTATTCGTAATTCAAGAATAGATAAAGAACTCACTGGCGCATCGTAATATAGCAAATATTCTGGTGAACGAATTAGGGCAATGCAGGATGAGGGGCATGGGAGTTCTAATATCAGCAATCAGTGCAGTTCTTAGTGCATATTTTATGATCTATAAACCAGAGGGAATGATTTGGTGACAGAAATTCCATTGTACACAAATGTGAAATCATACTTGTGTAGTCATGGAACAAAGACTTTGAGCGTACTTCAGTAGCTATCGAAAAAGGACCTTAAGTGGCAAAAATGATAATTTCTGAAACTTTACACATACTATCTTCACAATCTACTCAAGAATTTCCCAGCATTTTATGGAACCCGAAGGTTCATTACCCTGTTCACAAGAGCCCACCACTGGTTCCAATCCTGAGCCAGATCAATCCAATCAACACCATCCCATTTTATCTCTTTAAGATCCATTTTAATATTGTCCACCCACCTACACCTTGGTCTTCCCAGTGGTCTCTTTCTTTCTGGCTTTCTCACCAATACCCTATACACATTCCTTGTCTCCCCCCTTCGTGCTACATGACCTGTACACCTCATCCTCCTTGACTTGATCATTCTAATTATACTTGGAGAAGAGTACAAGTTATGAACTAATTCATTGCATGCCTTGTCTTTACATACTAAAATAACTAAAATATATATTTATCATATATAATGACAAATGTCAAGTGTTAAAATACTAAAACTGTACAGCATATTTCTTTCCTACGTCGTGTTTCATTACGCGAGTCACGTCTATCATCCTCTGTTGGAGCACTCTCTCTTTCACTATCGTGTATCTGTAACATGAATTTGTTATTCATTAATACCGCGTTCTGCATCCTATCTATTACTTGTGGTATTATGATTTTAATGTTTAATACTCACTGTGCTCTGTGTTGCGTCTCGCTCCTGTGACTGCGTGTGTTATACTGCTGGACCTGCTGGGTATGTGTGTGTGTGCTGTCTTCGTTTTGAG